CTCATCTCCAGTAACGATTTCCTTTAGAAGGTCCTTTCTGTGCGGTCGAAGGAGCAGTGATTCGCAGACACTGACACGGCTCAGAGTCGCTGAGCTGATGAGGGACCCATGTCGAGTAAACCTTCCGATAGCTGAGGTCGTTCAGATGATTGCCGATGGCCATATGGGTGACTCCAAGTGTAGTCATCAATTCGCGAGTGGTGGCGTTCGGCTTCGCGTTGAGGGCGTTCCGCCGGGCTTCGTCAGAAAGTGTTGCAAGACTTTCTTTCCAACCCAATATTTTGTGTCCGAGGTATCAGACCATGGCAATTAGTATGAAACTCCTGTCACCTTCACACGATGGCTCCTTCATGGTTAGATGATTCGGTAAACTGCACAATATACAGGTATACGTACATTCATGAGTGTCCTTGAGTGCATGCCCAATGGATTCATTTTGGTTCAAATTTTCCAAAATCGCTACTTCTGGAATGCAGGTTTGTTTAGTCTCTTTGTTCACACAATACAACTTTAAAGTTGGATGTATGGTGACCAGGAGACGAAAATTGATAGTGAGTGTCTTCATCCAACTTGCGCAATGGGATTCATGCGATAATCTCTGCCATGCCTCATGTGTCCCACGGGAAACATCGGGGTTACTACTACTGATAGTGATATTTTTTTAGAAGTAAAACTAAACATTCGGGGGCATCTCTGATGGATGCCATTGTTTTGGTGAGTCTTTAAAGCTATGACCTTTAAAACTATTTTGCTTATCATTATATCTATTCACAGTAGCAACAGTAGTGAACTAAAGAACATGGTCCTCCCATGACGACCGTGATGGCATCGGTCTTTTCTACGGGATTCTCAGTTCTCAATTGGGCTGTTGCCCCTGGCTGTATGGACGACCTATACTTAGGAACTTCCATCCAGTAAGAAATTCATGTGTATTCTTACTACGTGGGACTGGTGAAAACCCACTCCCGCTTTTATTTATGGTCAATGTGAACATTGCGGTAGTTTTCAACTTCTCCCTAAAGAATAATGTGCATAATATCCAATACGTTTTCTCTCGACTTCCTTTCACTTTTAATATGTTTATGGAAGGAAGATTTAATCTCTCGATTGAAGAGTTCCACACAAATAAATTCGCCAAACATTATTTCTAACATTGTAAATAAATCTTAAAACATTGCTTTGAAAAAGGTATTGTCATTATTCCTGCCTGTATATCATAACTTTAGAGGTGTCCCGGAAATGTTCTTTTTGTACCAAGAACAAAGACCCATATGACCAGTAATAATAAGAGACTCAAAATTATCAGCTTTGTTTCTTGTTATTCTGGCATATATGCAGTTTTGGATGGAAAAATAAAAGCAGCACTTACCCGTTTGAGTACTAATAAGGACAACTTCAGCAGCTTCAGCAAGTTGCCGTCGTGGTCCTGACAACGAGAAAGAACACAACGTTGTTGTTGAGGTAACATGCACACATACAAGATGCACAGTAAGAAAAAGTATATTTAGATATACTAGACTTCAGATTTCTTGCAACATGTTTTACTATTAATCGTTACCTGCGAACCAAGTTGTAACCTAAATTAGGCACTAATATGTTGTATTATGAGAAAACTGACATGCGTTTTGGAGAACACAGGCAGGAATCTCTTCCTTAAGGGACAAAGTGGATGCATGCATATTGCATGACGTGCAAAAAGGTATGTAGACTTTCCAACGATTGGTTGGGGACTGATTTTAATTGTTCCACGCTGAAAATCCGAACCAGACGGATTCTGAGAATAATTTTGGACGAATCATGGCACCAATCATAACAGAAGAGGGTGCTTTGCTAAGGTAACTGATGAAGCTGTCTGCGTATATCAAAATGTTTGCAAATGATGCAAGAGATGCTGAGAATTTCGATCGCGAAAAAATGATACCAGACTTTTGGAGGGCAGTATATTATTCATCAGGTTTTCGTAGGAATTCCTATTCTTTCCATGCTATTTTACAATCATAAACACAGGTCCTTCTTTTTGTTAAAATGCAGACACTGATCGTTTTGCCTTTCTGGGGAAATATACATCTTCTGGAGGAAGGTTGAGAATTGAGGCTTTTAATCTAAATTAGAACCATGAGACAGTGTTACATTTTAAATTGTATTTATTATTTATGTGATGCCGAACAGCATATTGATTCCTGTGCTTATGTCTCCGAGCAGCAGCAGCGAATTGTTCTGCTTGAGATGAAAGTGGACTTTGCCGTACTGAAAGAGCAAAATAACATAACTATGAAAATAGCAGACACGAGTCACATTTATGAATCAAAGATATTAAGTAACGTAAAAACTAATTTTCCAAGACTTTCTCTTTCACCCCTTAATCCTCCCCCAATTCCCTATGGGACTCACCAACGTTATGCTTAGACCTAACAAACTCCGATTTCCCCAAGGTCTGCCTTTCATATTTCAAAATAAATTCAATTCCCGATTCATTTATTTACTATTGGGTTGGAAAGAAAGTCTTGCAACACTTTCTGACAAAGCCCTGCGGAACGCCCTCAACGCGAAGCCGAACGCCACCACTCGCGAATCGGCGACTACACTTGGAGTCACCAATATGGCCATCGGCAACCATCTGAACGACCTCGGCTATCGGAAGGTTTACTCGACATGGGTCCCTCATCAGCTCAGCGACTTTAAGCCGCGTCAGTGTCAGCGAATCACTGCTCCTTCGTCCGCACAGAAAGGACCTTCTGAAGGAAATCGTTACTTCATATGAGAGCTGGGTCCTCTACGTCAACCATACTCGCAAGAGTCAGTGGCTTCCACAAGGAGAATTGCCGCCACATGAATCGAAACCAGGGTTTCACGAGAAGAAGGTTCTTCTCTGTGGTTGGTGGGATTCAGAAGGAATGTTGTATTATGAGCTCCTGCCAACCGGTACCACCGTGACTGCCGTCGTCTACGCTGTTCGACTTCAGAAGTTGGGCGTGTCTCTTTTCTCAGCGGCTCAGCTAGCTCTGCTCAGGCCTCCAGNAACATGTCATAGACAACAATGGTCATTACATTGTTGACTGAAATTGCATTTCAATAAAGTCATAACATTTTGAAAAATTTGCGCAGTGTTGCAAGACTTTCTTTCCAACCCAATAATTACGACCATCTGCCGCATAGAATGAATCCGTGCTCTTCCAGGCATTTTATTGAGGCCTTTTAACGTTAGGCCAATTGAAGGCTTATTCATATTTTCGCGAACCATTTCATAGGGGAAGTGTAAGGCTTGCGTAATTTAATAATGTGTAAATGATACCATCTCTCTGAGTGTTCTATCTCCCTCTCTCTCTCTCTCCCTCTCTTTCTCTCTTTTATTACAATAAATGACTCTTTTATAAACCATATTAGGATACATGGATTTCGAGAAGAGGCATATAATAGCAGCTTGTATAGAAGTTCATGAAAAGGTGGCATTACTTCAAAAGCAGAACCAACACTAACGTTTGCAATGTATCTTTCCATCATTAACCGATATATCATGAAAGATGAATTCGAACTTTTTTTTTTACATTTGGTAATTTCTAGAGTCACCAATTACTAGCAATATAATATTCTTTCAGAATTCGGCCATCCTTGTGGCTTCGGTGGTGGTGAACACGTCAACAATAAGACTCGCATTCCAAAGTTCCGTGCTCTAATACTCGGACGTGTATGTGTCACTGTAGGGTCAGGCGGACTTCACGCTGCTAGTCAAGCTATATACTCGAAATGGGAAATACCGACTCGTTACCTGTAGTGTCTCAAGTGAAATCAACAGTGCAGCTTGTCTGCGGAGACACTGAAGGTGCTGCCAAGACTCAAGAAAACTTTCTACGGGAATGCCCTGTTGTTTCACAAGTAACTTCAACGGTACAGTTGATAGCCGGTGACGTTGATGGAGCGATAGAAACCCAGAAAAGATGTGGACAGGGGCTACTGAATGCGGCAGACGGGATCCCCGTAGTTGGTCATGCAAAGGGATTAGTGCATTACGCTGTTGGAGACACCGAAGGTGGCACGAAAGCAATGAAGACTGCAACGAGAAGCACAGCTGTTATCGGTGGTGGTATTGGAGGTTTTGTCGTCGGTGGTCCTGTAGGAGCAGTTGCTGGAGGAATTAGTGCAGGCGCTGCAATGGATACTACAACCACTGTTGTTGAAAGTGTCATTCGAGATGAATATTCTCCAAGTGGCTATCTCGCGGCTATTGACAACACTGTCAAAAATCCGAATCCTGGTGACATATTCGATTTGGCAGTCATGCCAGTGTTCGATGGACTGGCTGGTTACAGTGCCGGACAAGCGTACAACAAGATTACCACCGCTGCTGCTAGGAAAGCCAACAACGTCGCAATGAGTAAGTCATTAGATTGACCTTTGAATTTTTTATTCTCAACTGACTGGAGTTCATCTTCATAGGTGAAGCGCTGCAAAAGCAAGGTATCAACGCGTTTGAAGCTGGTAAGGCGATGGAAGCGGAAGCATGGGTCAAATGGGAGCAGCTTGAAGCACAAGCTGGAAAAATACCTGATGGTCAATATATCCAGGAAGCCAAAGCTGCTCAACAGATGTTCAACAAAGCAAAGTTGTTGCAGGGTGAAGCGTTGGTGCAACCAGTGAAGGGACCTCCCCAGCAAGTCAATGTGCCAATTTTTGTTCCTGGCAATGCCACACAGCATGACAAAGAAAAAGATGACGAAGAAGAAGAGCATAACAAGAAGGAAGTGAAGATCAAAGTTTTCTATGTGAATGCACGCAGTATCAATCCTGCAAATGAAAGAAAGGTAGCTTACCTCAAGAGACACATCCGAGACGCTGATCCCCACATTGTCGCCATTGTTGAGACTTGGTTGACCAGTGATATCCGCGACTCGGACGTACAATCATATTTAGACCTCAGGAATTACAACTTGTTCAGAAGAGATCGTGTTGATAGAGACCCTAACGGAAAGACGAGACGCGGAGGTGGAATGATTATTGCTGTCAAGATGTCGCTAAAATTGCCTACGGAATTTCTGGACTCTTATGACGACAACTTTCTTGCTCTGAAGTTGGAATACACTTATAACTGCTCCAAGTGCGCTGGAAAAAGCTCTGAAACCTTCTCATTCGGACTTTTGTACAGACGCAAGTCAGCTTACAAGAGAGGGCAAACGGATAAGCAATTCAGAGACGCTTCGAAAGCATTGTGGGAACATGTTGCCAAATTTGGTGCAACAGTACCCAATTTCGGGGGTTCTGTCCTCGTCGGCGACTTCAATTTCAAGATCGACGTTGAAATCCCAGACGCTAGTGAATTGCTATATGGGCTGCCACGCCAAGCTGCTCACCGGATGTTGCTCAACATGCCGATTTATAAAGGTTATGCAACGTACATCCCTTCGGCTACTGAAAGGGGCCTGTTCGAGTCTCTGGAAACGCAAGGGTACACGCAACATGTGGAAGACGCTACGCATTCTGACGGGAATATTCTTGACCTTATTTTTGGATATCCACATGACTTTGTAAGGAGCATTCAAAATCGGGGTAACATTGCCGTCTCTTCTCGCAAGCAAGATCACGTCATATTGACTTTTAATTTGTGCCTTGGGGAAGATTGCGATGGCAAGAAAGGTTAGGGTGGTCAACCATCATTTGTTTTCTGGCAAAACTGCTTTCCTACGTTTTAGCTTGCTGTAATTAACATAATTGCTTGCTTCTGACCGACGATGAAATAAGCACATACTGATGGGCATTTTCGAACAATACAAATATATATGTTACAGTTATTCGCTTTGTTGTAGGATTACTCATTTCCAAAAATTAAATTCTGTGAATTAAGTAGAACCAGTAGAAACTTTTTTTTTGTCACTCTAAACATTTTCCTTCCCTTATTCTCCCTCCCTCTCTCTCACTGTCTTGTAAGTCTTCATTTCTTGTGAGTGTGATATTTAAATTTCTCATCGTATATGTGTGTATTAATTATACTAATTATTTGCAAATGAAAATGAATCACCATTACAAAACTTTTTTTTCGCTTTGTTCAAAATGAATATCGCAATATACTTTTTCCAGTTTTTAGCCTTTCACTAATATTTTTCTTTTCTCCCTCTCTTGTAAGATTTCATTTCGCGTTTCCGGGGTTTTCTTTTTCTTTGTATTACTCATGGAGATTTTTTTTCGACTGCTTGCGAAAGAAAATGTATCGCTAACTTTTTTATCAGTGTTTTCAAAATTAACTTTGTAGGAATTGTTTCCAGTTGCTAGCTTATCACATGCATTTCCTTTCTTCCTCCCTCTCGTCCTTTCTTCATCTCTAGTAAAACTTTACTTTGCATTCGCGCGATTTTTCTTTCGCCATGCATATGATGTGAAGCTTTCTTTTACTCGACTGTTTGCGAAAGAAATACGAATTGGTGCAAAAAATAATAATTTTTTCTGCACTGTCTTCTTAATAAAATTCATATGAAAGTTTTCCAAATGTTACTTTTCTTATGGTGGAATATTACGCCTCCTTTTGCTCAAAGGCGAACGAATCTTTCTTCCTTTAAATTTACAGAGATATTCCTCTCGATATCATTTCCGCTACAATGCGAGAAGTGGACACACACATTCATACCTTAACGGAGAGTGAAAATAGAAAAAAAATTGACAGAGAAAGATATTAATTTTTCCCTCAATAGTAACCTGATTCTCGTTGGGTATCCCGGTACGGGTATGTCGTTCTTCATAAAATCCGACCTTCCTTGAACCATCGTACGCAACCAACAACGTTAAATCGCTTGATAATCTGTTACGCACAATATCAAGAGATCTATTAGGAAATGAAAGCTGCTGCTATACGGCAAAATCTAAAGTGTGAGGTGAATTTTTTTCAGGGAGTTCCCACCCAACTGATGGATATGTTCTCCCCAGATGTACACAACACCTATATCATATTCGACGATCTGGAACTTTAAGCCTTGCAATCGAATCCTGTGTTTCACATATTTGCGGCTGGTCGTCACCTCAGAGTAGAATGCTTGCTGACATCTAATATATATGTAGTCGATCATGACTGACTGATTACATATTTCCCACCTGTGGAAAGTACAAGAGATGTTCTGCTAAATGTCCACTATCTTGTATTATTCAGGCTCAGGGAAACGGGTCAGGTTCAATTATTTGCACGCAGAAAGTTTGGTGATAGTGACTTTTTACATACGAGCGTATGTAAACAGTGTACTCGATCGCGATGGAGATGGGTATTTATTACTGGATCTCCTGCCGTCCTCTCCCACTGCCCATCTGCTCTCTGTACGGACGAGAATATTCTCTCTCGCCGAAACCCCTTTTACGTCCGTGAGAAGGACTTGGGAAGGTATAAGAAACAACAACAGAAGAACAATAAAATGCCCAAAAGAAGCAAAGCCTGGATTCGACGCTTCACTTCTTACATGAGGGGTCTATACCGAAATTCAAATCATTCGCTGGGACATGCCAGCCCTGAGAGGCTATACACGTTTTCCAGGAAAAAAAATTTCCATCTCTGAAAAGACGGGATGCCCGAAAACTTTACCTGCACAATTGAACGAGTAAGTATACAAAATTTGATGCCTAATTTGGGCATGCTTCAAGTGTTCCATAACCAATTTCAAATGTGGTTTTCTCGTTATTCAGGGAACTCGGTGTGTCGGCCTTGGTGAATTTGGCAATAACATTCAAATATGGGTATGAATTGGATACCCTCTGCCATACTAGAGGACCTAAAGCTGTATGCTTTGGCAACTTATGACGAAGACAGCACTGACGACAAGTTTCTGGGAGCTGGTAAATTTGTAAGAGGTAACTGTAGATATCCACCAGACTAACCTTTATGCGTTTAAGGATATATCCTGAACCTTAGATTTCGATGTGCAATAAATTTGCACTCTACCCAGACGAGACAGATGGACCACCACCAACCGCAGACAAGCCCTGGACTGCAAATAAGTTTTTGGATAACTGCAAGATTCTAAATCCCGGTACTTTTGTAGAGGTATCGATAACAGCTCATTATTTGTCAGGACAATATGATGAGTGTTTCAGAAAGTAACCAGACGTGCAAATCAATCACGCTGTATACCTGACAGCATTGGGAACCGATTTGAAGAACTTACACGCTTTAGGCTGGCAGCAAAGGATGGCGGTCGTCACTCATTCTCCGACTTTTAAAAAATTGAAAAGCAAGCTACAATTAAAGCCAAGACTAACTTTTGTGATATGATGAATATTTTCTGGAAATAGTCGAGGCAAGGGCCATCGACTGAGGAATTTGGATGCTCAAAAGGCAACCGCTGCACTATTGCTGCAGAAACCTGGAGAAACCAACATTGAAGGAAACTGTGCAAATTTTAAAATCTTATATGCCACTAGCCAATCCAGGAACGACGACGAGGCCGATTTTGCTGATGAAGAGACTGAAGACTGCAGCCAGCTAGAACAGCCGTCACAAACGAGACAAAGGGTCTATAGAACGAAGCGAGCTGACAGTTCTGAGGACATCACGAATGATGGGGTAGAAGATACAACACCAGCACTCATTGAATTCATTGCAGCGGACGAGATGCATGAGGACGGAACTACAAAGTCTTGCACATCACTTGAATCAGCAGTTGTCTCTAGTGCGTATTTATATCAATTTCGCTGCGTCACGAATTCATTGCATTAACAGTTGCACTGTAAATTGTTTATTTCACACCAGGTGATCAGCGTCTGATGAATTCCACATTGCAAAACCCATTATCGTTGGAGCAGCAGACAGTTGGCCTTATCAAGGAGAGTTGGAGACCAAAGATCCAGAAAAATACGCAAAACTTTCACTGCATTTCGGAAACCGAGGCCGTTCAGCTGCACAATACGACAGGATGAAGAAGAGGGGCTTTGAAAAAGAAAATGTTGAACCAAGTCAATAAATTGCAAAGAGTTGAAAGTTTGATATGTTGTTGCATGTATTTTTTTCTCTTTGCTTTTTTTTCATTGTCATGATTATTTTTCGGTTATTTTTATTATGGTGTTGGAGACCAAAGTTGGTATGTTCCCGTCTGATTTTTTTTAAATTGCATCTGAATCATAGTCGTTTTTTAATATTTTTCTTTGTTAATACTCTTGAACGAATATTTGATTCGGTTTGCAATTTTTGGTATAACGGGATGTTTTAATGAAATTTTTTTCCCATCATTTTGATTAATATTGAGTCGCTTCGATGATTTTTTTTAAATTTCATTGTGATTAACATTGAATAAGCACTTCGAATTTGAATATAAATTGTTATCCTGAACAAAACTGCTTCGTTTTATTGCTCATGTACAATATAGGATTGCAGAATAACTGGTGCTGACACGCAGCGGATAAATGCGGCAACCAATAGGTAGATAAGCTTTGTGTTCTGTGCATGCGTATACACTGGTATAGCCAGGAGTATAGTAGATGCGTATAATTCCGTGGAAATGTGTATAACTGCTGAATGAAGAGTATGAATGGCAGTTCATATATACGCGTTTATTCGTAGAAGCGTATTCTCAACTCTGCAAGGTAAACACCAGTAGCTAGCGTATAATATAGGCCCGGTAAGCGCTTTTTTTCAACCCGTCCAATTATCCAAAGGAAAATATTTGCAATGAGAAAACAAATGCAGTTTCATGCACTGCAGCTTGATAACATACGAAATCTGTTCTCAATTTGCATTAAAATTGTTGTGAATAAATATGTTGTACAGAATTAAAGAACAAGTAAACTTTCAAAGTGCAAGTAAATAAACTGTAACTGATTTAATTGCAGAATGAATAGATTGCAATGAGAATCACAAAATGATTATAAATCAGTTGTATATCAATATTTCTTTGCTACTAAATAATAGAATTACAAGTAAAATGTTTCCAATTAGAATATATATGCAATTGTATAGGCTACAGCTTGATTACATATCAAATCTGTTCTCAATTTGCATTGAAGAATAATGACTTGTTTAATGTAGAAACTGAATTACTTTTAATTATGTAATTGTGATGAAGACAAGTGCGATATCAGGTACAAATTACAAGATGCAAATTTGATCCAACACTGCGCCATAACAGTTTAGCAATAAAAGCTGTTTATACCAGTGATTCCACAGCTAATTAAAAGATAATTTGAGTAATACGATACCTTCTCAGCCTTTATAACATCTTCCTCTGTGTAGGAGACATCAGCCCATCACTCAAAATCTACAAAACAGTCCTGATCCCGAAAAAGGGGATCTATCCTCCTCAGGGAACTGGCGACCTATAACCATATAGGTTTTACCATAAGGGGGGAGGCGGATAGGGCTAGAGCCGAGCGAGATTTAAGTCTTTTGGACGAGTGGACCAAGAAATGGCTCATGAGGTTTAATAAAAGTAAGAGTAAAGTTCTCCACGTCGGTCGAAACAACGGTAGGTCCAACGACATGACCGCCTCCTAGAATTTGCCTTCGACAAATTCAAAGATCAAGTCTTCACCATCATCCATGAGCCAAGCATAACAACCAATGGAGAACTCCGCAAGCCGGACCTCCGATTAATTGAAAACAAAGAAATTACCATGTGTGACCTAACCGTAGGATGGGAAAGTCCACAAAAACTCGATGATATTCACCTAAACAAAATCGACGTTCCGGGATTCCCGATCCGTTTGCAAACGACATAATTACCGGCCGGGGTGTTGTACTTGGTAGAGCAGCCACCAAACTGCGATCTATTGAGACTCAGCCCTTGACTGGAGAATCCATCAGCAAATTTTTACGGGCTCGATAGCCTCCTACTGAGATCCCAGAACATTTTGAAGGGTTGTGTGTGCATGTGAGATGGCTCAAGCCACGCACTGCACCACACAAAAGGAGGGGAAGAGAGAGGCCAAGCAGGGTCTGCAAAGCCTATTCTTCTATTTAGGTGAGCTAGAGCTCCAATGCTTCATGGCATTGGGAGTCTCGCCAAAAATGGACGAATGAAACACGGACCAAGAATCCAGTGTCCCAGTCAAGAACTGAGCGCTGGATGCCTTATAAGGCAGAATATATGAGCGAAAGATAGTGAAAAACTGCAGTGTCAGCCTCCACTGCAGTTGAAGAGGGGTCTGAAAGGCTTTTTCCTATGAGTGAATGAAACATGGATTTTAAAAATCCAGTGTGCCAGTCATGAATTGGGCTAGCTGTAGTATGGGTCCACAGCTTAAATAAGTAGTACTGGGGCGGTACAGCTCAAGGCTGTGGACTCGTGTGAGCTTCTAAGACTTGAAACCTCACCAACAAGGCTGGTGCTCTGAGTGTCTCGTGTTAACAGTGTTTTTCATGTCTGAAAGCCCAATTCGTTGGGGAGTCTTCTCTTTCTTCCGGGACATCTGGGTGTCGAAGAAGTGCCTCCGCCAACAAGAATCACGTACTGCCTAAAGTACTAGGTCTCACGCTGAAAAAGTCCATATGGAAGGTCATAGGCATCACGTGAACACTTGTTCCAGGTAGACTTCCTTATTTTTCGAAAATTTAGCCTTCTGCATCCATAAAATCGTCATACCTTTTGCTTACATCACACAACCGTCAACAACCAAAACCTCAAAGCACTATCAGCCACTTTGGTTTCCACTCATTTCTAGAATTACGTCACAAACCACCAAAAATGGAAATTAACCTTTCTTCATGCCACAGTCTTGCCAATATTATCGACCGGCACTTACTCGACTGTCTTCTCAAGAAAATGACACCCACTGAGAAAATTTGCGGCTGTTAGTGTTTAATCTGTTTCAAATAAAACAACGGATATCCTACCCTAATGAGAATCTTAGGCTTCATCTTGCCAATGACAATGCAACTCCAACTGATGAGAAAAACACAACCTTCTGTTGGCACTTTGCCAATGAAGTAATGTGAAAACCAATTTTCAATCGCTTTCCCTTTCTTCGACCCAGCCCCATCCCCATCGTCAACATGGTTGTTCTCCGCTGAAGAGTGCTGGGCAGTCCGGCCTTCCAAATCGCGGACGCCAACATGCAAATCATATACAGTACTGTATACTCTAGTAGACTGATGCGTTTACCCAGCTCACAGACATGGCGGAAAAAATGTTACACAGTAGCACCTACAGTGGGAAACTGTTCAGCTCAAAGAAAACTTTCAAACATTTCTATCCGAATTTGACGGTAAATTTATCCACAGCCGTGTTTGAGCTTCCAGGCAATGAGCTTTGTGATCTGCCTCTCTAATTTTTCATAATTTTATTATTGGAAATGAGTAATCCTACGACAAAAAACCGAATAACTATAACATACATTTGTATTTCTTGAAAATGCTCATCAGTGCGTGTTCATTTCAACGTCGGTGTGAATGTGTGCGTCCATTTCTCGCATTGCAACGGAAATGATATAGAGAGGAATATCTCTGTAAATTTAAAGGAAGAAAGAGTCGTTCGCCTTTGAGCAAAATGAGGCGTAATATTCCACCATAAGAAAAGTAACAGCTGGAAAACTTTCATATGAATTTTATTAAGAAGTCAGTGCAGGAATTTTTTTTTTACAGCAATTCGTATTTCTTTCGCAAACAGTCGAGGAAAAGAAAGCTTCACATCATATGCAAAGCAAAAAAAATCACTCGAATGCGAAGTAAAGTTTTACTAGAGATGGAGAAAGGACGAGAGAGAAAGGAAATACATGAGCAGCAACTGGAAACAATTCCTACAAAGTTAATTTTGAAGACACTGATGAAAAAAGTTAGCGATACATTTTCCTTCGCGAGCAGTCGAAAAAAAAATCACCATGAGTAATACCAAGAATAAGAAAATCCCGCAAACGCGAAATGAAGTCTAACAAGAGTGGAAGCGAATGAAAATATTAATCAAAGACTAACAACTGGAAAAAAAATATTACAATAATAGGGAGAATAAGGGAAAGAAAATATTAAGAGTGGTGAAAAACAAGTTTCTACTGGTTCTCTGAATTTACAGAATTTTACTTTTGTAAATGCTTAATCCAGCAACAAAGGGAATAACTGTAAACATATATATTTGTATTGTTCGAAAATGCCCATCAGTATGTGTTTATTCCATCGTCGGTTAGAAGCAAGCAATTACGCTAATTACAGCAAACTAAAACGTAGGAAAGCAGTTTTGCCGGGAAAAAAAAGATGGTTGACCACCCTAACCTTTCTTGCCATCGCAATCTTTGCCAATGCACAAGTTAAAGGTCAATATGACGTGATCTTGCTTGCGAGAAGAGACGGCAATGTCACCCCGATTTTGAATGCTCCTTACAAAGTCATGTGGATATCCAAAAATAAGGTCAAGAATATTCCCGTCAGAATGCGTAGCGTCTTCCACATGTTGCTTGAACCCTTGCGTTTCCAGAGACTCGAACAGGCCCCTTTCAGTAGCCGAAGGGATGTACGTTGCATAACCTTTATAAATCGGCATGTTGAGCAACATCCGGTGAGCAGCTTGGCGTGGCAGCCCATATGGCAATTCACTAGCGTCTGGGATTTCAACGTCGATTTTGAAATTGAAGTCGCCGACGAGGACAACACCCCCCAAATTGGGTACAGTCGCACCAAAACTAGCAACATGTTCCCGCAATGCATTCGAAGCGTCTCTGAATTGCTGATCCGTTTGGCCTTTCTTGTAAGCTGACTTCCGTCTGTACAAAAGACCGAATGAGAAGATTTCAGAGCTTTTTCCAGCGCACTTGGAGCAGTTATGAGTGTATTCCAGCGTCAGAGCAAGAAAGTTGTCGTCATAAGAGTCCAGAAATTCCGCAGACAAATTTAGTGACGTCATCTTGACAGCAATAATCATTCCACCTCCGCGTCTCGTCTTTCCGTCAGGGTCTCTATCAACACGATCTCTTCTGAACAACTTGTAAGTCTCGAGGCCCAAATATGATTTTACGTCCGAGTCGCTGATACG